CATCAGTAAATTGATCATAACTCTTCCTAAACGTTTTAGAAANTGTGATTTTGTTTCTGAGTTAACAAAAGTCTAAAAACGAATACATGGACGAACGCGCCGATACATACCGAACAAAAATATGTAACGGGTGGCCCAGAATAAATGGGCCTCTCAGTATTTTGGTCATAACTTTTCCGCTTCTCGATGTTTAGAGCTGTTTGTTTCACCAAAAGAGGCGCCTTGAAATTCTCTACAAAATCTTAATTGACCTCACATTTATAAAATGTCAGGAAAAACCATTAAATGAAAAATCTGTATATATCACAAGATGCGCAATCAAAAGCTCTACACTTTGTATAACAAGTCGTTCTATACGAACACATCAGTTTGTTTTAAAGTATCCAAAAATCTATGTGACAAAAGCATTGTCGTTCTTGTAAACTCGAAAATCAACTGCGCATTATTTCGAAAATGAAAAGTATGTGTATAAACTAAATTTAATGGCGAAACTTATAGAGCTCCTCACGCCACATCGTATGCTATAGTGTTAATGATAGTATATATGCTCGATGATTAAAAATAACATATAGAAACCGAGTCATTCACATGATGTTTTCTCCTTCTGAAAGTTAGGTATCTTTTATGTTTGCTATATTTTTCATTTAATGGTTTTTCCTGACATTTTATAAATGTGAGGTCAATTAAGATTTTGTAGAGAATTTCAAGGCGCATCTTTTGGTGAAACAAACAGCTCTAAACATCGAGAAGCGGAAAAGTTATGACCAAAATACTGAGAGGCCCATTTATTCTGGGCCACCCGTTAGAGGTGCTACACAGGATGTAGGCACTGTAACGACTATTGTAGCCGTATGACCTATAGAAGTATTAAAAATGTAGAGAGTATTGGGGCTATCGAACATAGAAAAATGTTATCAGCGTAATCAAATTTCTATGATTCATCATTTAAGGAGCAATATTCGTATTTCAAATACAGATTCGTTATTTTTTCTGTGCTGTTTGGACCAAACTCTGTATTATTTAAATTGTGTGAATATGGCCCAACGTGCACTTTACTCACAAAATTTCGCGTTGTCTGGAATTCTAAAAAAATGTTACCGAATAATTTTATATTAAACTAAGAATAGTCAATTGTATATTCAATTCTTCAGTTGAATCAAGTGACTATGCCTTTCGTTACTACTAGAAATGCTACCAGCCTGAGAGTGATGATTTTAAAGTGAGCTTACTTCTTAAGTATCCTATTCTAAGCCACAATCTGGTTTTCCAAATGCAAACATGTGAGTTCCACATTTTATCCACAAAAGGGCTGCATCGACAAGCTTTTTTGTTAAAAGCCGCTTTATTCGTTTCAAATAAAACGACATTTTTTATTTGTCTTCGAAACTACTGATTTTCCTTTAAAAAAAGAAGCTGAAAAGGGAAAAGGAGAAAAGAGAGGCGGAGTGGGAAGCCAGGGAGACACGTGTGTTTTGTGGGGAAATTACATGGAAATGTCCAAGCCTGAAAAGGATTCATGTCGCGACCATCAGTTCTTTTCGTGGGTTGATGATTCGACGCTTCCTTCCACGATGTAGTATTGCATTTGCACGTTAATACTTATGTGCAAGCACAAGTAACTTACCCAGACAGACAAGGCTTATTTTGTGTCGTTTTCACGCCGTAAATACCGCACACTTTCATTAGTAATAATGCGTTAAAATGTGAATTTTAATGTTGGCAAAAGGCCTATATTTTGAGAAAAAACGCTTCCACTGCTATTCGAATATTGAAAGTCAGTTCTTTTCTAGACATATTATACGATATTTTAACGTGTTCTTACGAATGAAAATGTCCAGTTTCACATGCGTAAAAACTCTATTTTTTACTGATTTCGTCTGTCTGAATAATCAACGAGGCGGAGCAATGAACATCGACAATGATACAGGAAGATATGAATGAAGGAAAACTATCTTTTTTTTAAGGGGCGAAACATGCGCCGGGGAGGTACCGTTTCATACTTCTGATCTACACCAAGCAAAAATTCTCAATCACCACCTTCGTATACACTAACTCTTAGAAAGCGAAGTGACTGTTCCGAGGGACATTGTATTAGTTGGGATATGACAAGTAATATAGTTTTATCTGAGAAACTTACAAGGGAAGATCACTCACTTCAAAATCGCTTTCGAGTTGCAATTTCGCACACTGTAGGCAATCGATCATGATGAATCCGAAAAGTATGGTTTCACGACTAGTGCTTCCACAAACACCAAGTTTGCTGAAAACTCGACTTTCAGAAAGCAAAAAATGTTCCAAGTGTTCTTTTTCCTCAGCCCAGGCGAAGGAGTACATCGAGCTCTCTAAAAATCATGATAGGCTCCTTTCTTCCAACAGTGCACTATAACAAAATAAGGTTAACTTTTGAGTTTCTATATCAAAATGCTATGCTTTGCATCCATTATATGGATGTCAATAAAAATTTATCTTAGAAACGGGCTATACGAGATAGGAAAGAGCCCAAACGGATCTGATTTGACAGCTCTTTCTTCGAAAGTTAGAGTTACTTTTCTGTTTTTACCAGTCAAAACGGTTAAAAGTTGAAAATCTTGCCATTCAGTCATAAAAGACCATGTATGCTTGAAACTTTCAGCAATTCGAGGTCACAAGCGTTGCTCATTAATCTAGAAATTCTAGTTTATTTAGTTGTTTCATTCCTGATTTACAAAATTTTCGTCCATCGTTTAACAAGAATTTTTTAGCTTTCAGAAACAGTCCATGAAATCACCAATCAACGTGTTTGCCGATAAATTTTACTTTGCAAAATAAACTAGCCAGTTGGATAGAACATAAACAGCTACTCCGAAACCCAAAGTTTGACTGACTTTGGCCAAACCTTTCGAGAGTTACCCGGGACCACTTTTTCGACCATCTTATGGAACCTGTCATAAAGTGCCAGCTTTGAGTAAGTTTCTGTCTACGGATTATTTCACCACAAAAGCTTGATCAAAACTATCATCAACTTACACCAATCGATAGAGCGAAGCTTGTTCTACAAAATCCACATATCACATGAGCCTTTAAAGCACTTTCTATAGTAAAAAATTCACAATATGGGTGAAAACAACTGCTTTTGGGGGCAGATTTTTCACTCTTTTCTCTCACTTGTGTTTGATCCATGGAGGCAAGCTTATAATACTCAGGAGAAACTTTATACGGTTCTGTAGAGTGTGAGAAGGCGCATCTATCAGTGAGAAGCTAGCACGAAGAAACCATGTGTTAGTTCAAAACGTTTTTACTAAATAAGTCCCGTCCCTAAACGTCATACCATTCGACTCAGAATTTAATTCTGCATGGAATGTGGATGTTTCTACTCATGGGATAAACTTTGCGAAAATTTATTTGGATCATAAATAGACTTATAGGGGGCAAACAAAGATACAGGCAAACATTTTCCCCAAAGTGTGCCCCGTGAGTAGAAACATCCTCATTCTATGCAGAATTAAATTCTGAGTCGAATGGTATCATTTTGAGGGACGAGGCTTATTTAGTAAAAATGTTTTAGGTAGCACATCGTTNGATCCGATGAAATCCTGGTGACGGAATCGCATTGGATTCCGACGGTCTCCGATCCGATCGGATCCGAAACATGGATTTCCTGAATTTTCTAAGGGTCATCATAGAATATAGCTAGAAAGATCGCTCATAAAATTTGCAACAACCGACGGGATTTTTCTAGTCGGATTCCAATGCAATTCCGTTTCCAGGAATCCGATCGGATTTTGTCAGATGGTCGGATCTGGTAAGATCCGATCGGATCAAGCATCGGATTTGTTGACCTGGGTAGTCGCCTCGTGCAGTATTTTTAGATGAAAATAATTCTTTTATTTATGTAAGTGACTGTAATAACCATAGAATACAACGTTTTTCATTATTCGGTGGATCTCCGAATAATGGCATAACAGTGGCAAGGTGGAGATGGTCAAGGTTCATCAAACAAACAACTGAATTCTGCTTTTGCTATTTTTGTGTCCACCAAGAGAAAAACCATATATATTGCAGACAGTTCAAATAATAGAATCCAGCGTTGGGATCAAGGCGCACAATCGAGCGTTACTATGGCTGGAGACCTAAATGGATCTCCAGGCAGTAATGCTACTATGCTCTCTAATCCATATGATATTGCTCTCAATGACGATGAAACATTTCTTTATATTGTTAATACCGGAAATCATAGAATTCAACGTTTTCAGCTGATTTAAGTGCGCTAATCACGTAAAAACACATTTTATTTTAATAGATTCGTTTGAAATCATTTATTGAACCCCTTACATATATAGCTGCACCTGCATGTATACATTCTTTACACTTTCACCCATAAATGATAAATAAATATTACAGATCGCATTAAAGTGAACGATGAATTCTATAAATGTTATATAAAGTTTACTTTACCAGAATAACATCATTGAAAGTAAAGATAACTCATTCAGAGCTACTTCAAATGCCTTAATTTGTTTTAAAAGAATGTTTTTCAGTAATTATCAAAAATCTTTTTGATTGTGACAGTTTCTTTTCTCTTGGCACTATTTCACAACAAGGCGGGTGTGGATATGAGTTCACTTTTCATCATACGTACACCCTCAGCCTCAAGACTATCCAATTTAGTTTTGAATTTATTTTATCAATTATGTATATTAAACCAACTGATGAGATGGTGAAAGTCCATCGAAACATGTATTGGTATTCTATTTGTTCAAATCTCTGTGAAATTGACTTTACAGATATATTTCGTATTTTTCAACCTGAAAACATATTTTGCTAAGTTTAAAAAGTACTATGATTCATTAAGTTGAAAGTATCCAAGAAATTAACAAAAAAATGAATATCTTTTATAATCATGTCTATTCGTTCGATTTATTCAATTAAACATACAGTACAAAAAACAACAACAAAAAAATGCAAATGTTTGACTGTTATTATCATGATTTTGTTTTAAGTTAAAAATTGTCAAGAAGAATTTAAGAAGTACGAATACCTTGTAATTTTCGAAGAATACAAACTGCAATCAATAGATGCCATGCTGAATTATCATTTGTTAACCACTTCACAAATGTATTAAATGCTTCTTTTGTAAATAATTGTTTAGCTAAACCAGCTAATCCGTTCATTACTTCTTTCGAATTTTCTAATATGAATTTAATTAAAGATTGAAGATACTGTGGGGATGCTGAACAAAAATAATAAATTCCACCAACTAAAACACCACAACCAAGTGCTGTTACAATTGCTTTTGTTAATGTTGTAGTATAATGATATGGAAACATTCCTAACCAATTCCCATTTTCTTGAATAATTAATACAACATGAGCAGTACTATAAACATTTCCTGTATCATAAAATGTTTCATAATTAAACTTGACACCTCGAGCAAAACCTATAATTTCGTTTTGAACACGATTTGGTAAAGCCTTAAGTTCATAAACATCATGTAATTTGTCATATGTTCGTATTTTAATTTCAGCTGCTATTTCTAACCATACCTGTTTAAAATCATCTCGATCATAAAGAAATTTTAAATCCTCCATTCAAACTTATCCTTCAAATAAATTCACGTATTCTCTTTTTCTTATATTATATTCTCAAAATGTAGATGCGATGTTGCAATGCTTGAATTTCCAACATAACATTACTAGGTTATTTCCAAGTTTTCTAACGTCGAATAAAAATTTCTTTATTCTTCTGTCAATAAACTTGTTTTTTTTCCCAATAAAAACAAATATAATAACTTGTTCGTAAATATTACGTTGTAGATTTATTTTAATTCTAGAAAACGAAAGAAAAAAACAGATGAATACGAACGAAAGAATACTTTCAAATCAAGGAGATTTACAAGAAATTTGGTTACGAGTTGCAACTGATATTAAAATTCGAAAATTTACAAATTTAAATGATATACCTGAATTTCATGATTTACCAAATCAATTACAAAATCAACTTCAAAATGAATTATTAAATTTCAATAATGATTATTATAAAATCTTTCATAACGAACAAGAATTAAAAAATTTCCATACAATAATATTTAGTAACGAAAAAGAGAAATATCTCGCCATATATGAAGAAAAAACACCATCCGTAGCTGTACGATCATCATTAACTACTTTAGGATTTACTGTTATTTTTATTTTTATTTGGCATCAACTTTTTCAAATTGTCAATCAAAGTCAAACACAACAATTATCAAATTCAAATAATGATTTAAGTAATCTATTATCATTGATATTAGGTATTGTACCGTCATTATTTGGATATTCTCATTTACAACGATGGTTTTCAACTCGAGATTCTGTTTATAATAAACTAATTGAAGGTTGTATGTTGAAGAAATTAGATGGAATCTCAAATTCTCAATAATTAAAAGACAAAAAGAACTTTTCTGATAAAATAAAATCGAAATTTTTCTTCAAACAAGATTATATATACATACATGTTGAAAGAGAAAAGAATCTTCTAACACATAGTTTTTGTCTTTCTATATAGAATAGGAAAGAAAAAAATATATAATAAATGACGTCATTTGGTCTTTTCCTCGCGTGAAGAAGAAAATAAATACTGGTATTTTGCTTCTATTCTTCGATAGTAACTAGAAGAATTTCTATTATAGTCTTTGAATAAAAATGACTAATTTTCAAGTAACAAATCTACGAGATTGTTTTCAACAAAAAGATTTTCAAACAAATTGGATGAATATTGCAACTGATATTAAAATTCGAAAATATGATCAATTAAATAATATACCTGAATTTCGTCAATTACCTAATCAATTTCAAAATCAAATACAAAATGAAGTAATTCCATTGAATGGTAATTACAAATTCTTTTCTAATCAACAATATTTTAATCGTTTCTATGCAATATTATCAACAAAAGAAAAAGAAAAATATCTTGCTCTATATCAAGAAAAGAAATCATCAGTAAATACACAAGCATTCTTAACTGGTATTGGTATTGGAAGTTTATTTCTTATTTGGAATATTTTAAAATATTTTCAAGATACACAACAATCAACAACAACAAATAAAAGTTCATATCAAATAACAACGTTTAATCGTTTAGTATCTTATACATCGAAACATAGTTTTATGGTCATTTTAACTGTTTTATCACCAATTGCGGCATATTTTCTTACTCAAAAATGGCTTTTAAATAATGATCTACGACATAAACAGCTTGTACATGCTTGTGTATTGAAAAAATTAGAGAGTATCGTGAAATCAAATTAATCTAAATAAAACACATTTTATTGTAAATTCTTTCTTTTTTAATTCACAACGAATTAAATTTTATATTTCATTTTTGATTTATTCAAGTTCAGCAAAATTAAATAAAAACTATTGTTTATAGTCATGTTTTATCTATTTAATTCACAAGTAACGCTCGCCGAGGCCGACTCGCTAAGCCCGCGACTGATTCACTTTTAATTCGACTCTTGTCCTAAGACCCTTTCAAAAGATGTATTAATGCACTGATCTCGCAGTCGGTCATCGGCGTCCCTTCGGTCCGCCACTCCCGACTGCTCGATATTGTTTATAGCATATACACGTCCTCAGATGGCACTGGCCTTCCTCTCCGGCACTTCCCACATAGTTTAACTACTTCAACTAAATCTATAGCAATAAAGCTTTCAGATGGAGCTTGTCTTTTGTTTACTAGACGTTATAAGAGGAAATTCACCCAAATTCTCATCTTGAGTGTCATACGACAAAAGCATCTAAGATATTCANGTGGATACGACTTAATTCCTTCGTTCTATAGCCATTAATGCAATGTCCCTTGGAAGGGACGTTTCGGCTTTTAAGGGTTAACGCATTTCGGAAAGGAGGGTGTTTTTTACCTTTGACGTCGTCGGTACAGTTCTTCTCCTCCCATCCTTTACTCCACCATCAACATCCAGCCCCAAGACTCCCCCCAAACGATCCTTTATTGAGGCTTGAGCATTTTCGCAAAAATGTTTTTCTGACCTTTGACCCTTGGCCCCGACCCTCACCCCCGCCCCCAACCAAGATCTAGCCTCAACACCCCTCCCAAACCATGTTTTATAAAGCTTTGAGCATTTTCTTAAAAAATGTTTTTTTGACCTTTGGCCTTCGGCCCTGACACAGACTGGCAGACAGACAGACAGACAGACAAACAAACAAACAAACAAACTTTTTTTTATATGACCCTCCTTTCAGTCGAGGAAATTAAAAAAATCCCTAATAACCACGAGTAGTTTGCATTTTTTTTAAAATACAAGCTGCAACTAACATCTTCCAATATGATTGTTCGTCTGTAAGCCATTTTCGAAACGCAAGAAATGTTGCTGCTGAGAATGTTGTACCAGCAACTTTAATAATCGCATCAAAAAGTGCTTTATAGTTAGCTGATATAAATCCAATGAGAGACTCTACATGTGCTGGTGCCAAAGCACAAAAGTAGTAGATACCACCAATACAAACACCACCTCCCAATGTTAATGCTAATCCTTTTGATAGAGTTGTAGCATAATTATATTTATATATTCCCATCCATTTTTCCTTGTTTGGATCTAATACTACAACATAAGCTGTATTGTAGAATATACCTTCATCAATAATTGTTTCATAATTGAATCTTTGATTATTTTCAGCTGAATAGATTTGTTCTTGTATTTTTAATGGTAGATTTCGAATTTCAGGAAGATCACCTAGATTTTGGTATGCTCTAATTGTGATATCAGTTGATACTTGACGCCACACTTGTTTGAAATCGTCTCTATCATATAGTACTTCTAACTCATTCATTGTCTTTATTGATTGAAGATTAATTAATTATCTACAAAAAATAATACGAAATTTGTTTTGACATAAATACTTTATTCGAGTGACTCATATGAACTATTTAAGGTTTATACCAATCATCATTTGTTCTCTTTCTCGTAGAGAAGAGTCTTAGAAACATAAATTGTTTGCTTGCTTGCTTGCTTGTTTGCTTGTTTGCTTGTATGTCCGCAGGGTCAAAAAAACATTGAAAATCGATTTTTC